ACAGAAACGTATAGTTGTCTCAACATAAGAAGTGCGATAAGTAAAATAGAATTGACTTTATTCACACAAAAAATATATAGCATTCGGTTAATTAGTATATGCTGAAATCTACGTTTCTTTTTCAAAGATATATACACCTCTAGAGACAGTTCAGGTGTGCAGGTATAGATGTTGCGATCTTGTTCAAGAACCTGTATTATTGTTCTATTCCTATTGTGTGGCATAAAATTCTACCCAGCCGTCACTGGAGTCCATATACACCATATCCACGCCCTGCTCCACCATATGCTCTCGAAGCTCCGAGTTACTCACGCCGTTGATGCCCTCATACTGGAATACCCAAAAGGGTGCTGACCCCGAGAGCAGATCAGGGTCACTGTTGTAGTTGTTGACATCGGAAGGATACCAATTGAACATAGACTCAACGATATACGCATCGAACTTGTGGATCAAGGTGTCTTCTTTGGTATAGTAAGAGGGATTCTTCAATGCTACCTGCAGGCCAATCGAATGTGCGTAATCTACGATACCATGCATGTAATCCACGTAGCGTTGATCGATTCTTTGTTCTGAACGAGCTCTGGCTGCCACTTCATCATTGTCCGTCACCGCATCAGATGGCTTAGCATTGTCTGTGCTGATTGCGTTAAACCCCCTCGCCTTGTAGTCGTCCATGATATCCTTCATTATGGGCAGAATGTTTGGGACTAGGTCATCTGGGTCAAACCAATGGTCTCCCCAGGATTCTCCATCTCCATTCGTGTCAGAGTTCTCTTCCCAGATATAATCATTTAACCTGGGATCGGCGGGGCTGTCTGCATTCACAGTGCCCACAGATAAGTATACCATAGAAGTAACGGCGGAATTCGCAAGCCCTGCGGTTACTACATCGCTGCCATCGTTAGCCGAAGAGAAGATCCAATCAGCTCCAGTACAGTCGGTGCTCTTGGCTGCACCACTGTTGGACCAAGCGTGATTACAGATAGAAGGTGCGGAACGATCCAGCACCACGTCCGGATATTGCCTTAGCGTTGGCATATGATACAAGTGTCAGTAGAGCACAGGATGTTTTTACTGGAATCATCACGAGGTATTGGTTGTGTTGCTTTTAATCCCAGTTGTCTATAGGTATTGATTGTGTTGTTTTCAATCGCAGTTGTCTATAGCCTTTATATAGTATAGCTAGTGACCCGGACATTCTGTATAGTTCAGAGATGGTTCAAAAGATAACGGATGATTTGCAAGTAGATGATTATCTACGATTATCTAATTTCAGGTCGCCCCCTTCGTTCGTGACTTAATATAAGATTGCTTTAGAGGTAACATGCACACATTCTATTATTCTCCCCATTGCTGAAACTCCGATACACATACCAGATCTACAGTTGAAATACCGACATATCGGTATTCTTTGTATCCTTGACACGGTATTGAATACTAATAGTCTGACACACACACAGCCTACATCTACTGAATATTCATATTGCCCACTTTCTACTCCAGAAAATGGCTTCATTTTGGGCATCTGATTTCATTCTTTAATATATCGCCAACATTTTCCGCACTCGCTAGGAAGTAGATCATAAAGATGGCGATCCATCACGCTTTGTCGCGTTTTGAAAGAGCCTAACAAAGCCAGCGGCCAAGCATTCATCCTTCCCCGTCTTAGATGTGAAATGTCAACTGTCACAGTCTACCAGTCTGCGTATTTTTCAATAAGAAACAATCGCCACGAAATATTTTTTTATGTTTTTTTTACTGTTGAAAGTCAGAGGTAAATATGAATGCCGAATAGTGATTGGGTGATGACAATTCGAATCTGTGGAGACTGGGGACTGTGCTACTGTGGACTGTGCCACTGTGGACTGTGGACTGTGCCACTGTGGATTGTGGACTGTGCTACTGTGGACTGTAGACTGTGAACTGTGAAGCGTGGAGTGTGGGGGACAGTGGACACTGGATATGTACTACATATGCTCTAGTAGAGACTAGAGAGAGACAATATGTAGGATAGTCTAGACTGTAGACCCTAGTTACTCTAGACAATTGTCAACAACTTTTCTAAGAAAAAGAAAAAGGCGAATGCCGAGCCTCGCGAGTCAGAGTTGGAGTCAGAGCAGAGTTAGACTATTCAACAAAGCTGTAGGCCTGTAGGCTGTAGGCCTGTAGGCTGTAGGCTTGTAGCTGCCTCAGACACAGTCAGCAGTCTCACAGGCTCTCAGCACTGTTAGCACAAGGTCAGCAACTCAGCACCCGAAACAGGCCGATATGTAGTGCTGAGAGTCCGAGACTGGAGACTGCAGAGTGGTGTGGACTGTGGAGAGTCGGACACTGGAGAATTGGATCACTTGGATACCCACACGATTTTTTAGTCTGACTGTGATGAAGCTCTGAACTGACAATAGTCACAGTGTGACTGTAAACTTGTGAAGTGTAAACTGACAGTGACTGTGAACTCGCTGAACTGACAGTGAAGACAATATTTACAGTTCTATGTACATTTTATTACAGTATACTGTCACAGGCTCACAGCTATTATATCCTTTATGCACTGTCTTTTACTGTCTATGTCTGTCGGACTGCCGAATGTCCGACTTTTGGCTTTTCCTTAACTGAAACTCCTTATTGTATTTAGTCATTGACCTCAACAGACTCTAAATCTCATATTTAGTATGATTTATCAGAAGGCTACGATTGATTGAATGGATTGTAGTCAGTATTAACTGTATGTATGTGTATTTTAACACAATTTTAGTACATATCATAAGTATGTAAATACTATATAGCCTCAACTTCTTAAGTTTTTCATGATTTATCACTTACACTGTCATCAGTCATCAACTCTCAAGTCTCATCACTATGTACATAATCAATTTAAAATCACTGAAGAGTGAAGACTGAAGTGTTCAAGAGTGAGAGTATGTACATAGTTGCACACACACACACACAGTCACAGAGAGAGAGAGAGAGAGAGAGAGTTACACACACATACTCTCACTCTCTACATATTACTCTCTACTTCTCTCTTTCTCTAAAGAGTAGCGAGAGAGAGTAGGTTTATACTTTTTACCTGCCACACACTCTATCTGACACTCTCATCTTCGATCACCTTCAGACAATCACACCATCAATAAATTGTTTGATTTCACACAATAAAAATTTACATACATACAACAGTTGTATTTACGACCGACGGGCGACGGACAGCCGTGAGGACTGAGGAGTGAGCCGACGGTCCTTAAGTCCTTAACTCCTGGAGTCCTGGACGCCTTGTCGTTGCCTCTGGCTTTTATCTATTTTGGCATTTGTTTTTTTTGTTCTTTGCTATATTTTAGAAAACCAAAATCAAAAAACGAAATTTTCTTGCAACAAACATCAGACAGTCAGTTAATACAAATAACTAAATTCCTTTTTTTATTAATAAAATAAATAGACATCTGAAAGAATATTCGCGGCCGCGGAGCGCAGGCGCGAAGACTCAAACTTCGGGGGGGTTTTTTTGGGAGGGGGGGGGGGGGGGTTTAGTATCTAATTTTTAAATTCTGATGCAGATTCACATCTCAGCAGCTGAAATGTATGAACTGGCACCTGTGGCAGACTGTGACACTGTGAGCTGACGACTTATGACTGTCAGACTGTCAGTATGTCAGACGAACTGCCATCAGTGCCTTGCGACAGCCCTCTATATAAAACATAATTTTTGTGACTTTTATATTTTAAAAAACAATCAAAAGTATGTATGTACAATTCTACATATTATAATACATAATTATTATGTATGCCTTCTGATATGTAAAATAAATATAAAGGAAACCGAAACAGAAAACAAAGACCAATGGCAATGATGTCCAAACTCCAAAGCAGCTCCAAAGAGTTCGCCTTGGCTTTAATTTTGTTTGTTTGTTTGTTTTTTACAAAATAGGCTTGCCTTCCATTCTTCGAGTCTGGGGCTACGGGCGGGCCACGATACCACTTACCAGTTACCACGGCTCGCCACGCCGACAAGCGGGGAGAGATGAACGAAATAAGATGTTGCCGGAACTTCAGATGACCATGAAAATGCGGAATGCTAGCGGCATTTTTTTTCTATTGTACTTTTACACAACAG